CGTTATTTCCGGTTGGGATTCCACCCGAGTGATGGCCTGCATTGTGCGCCATGTCATTCTACGGTCTCCTCAACGTATGCTCCATCTATCCATCTCCATTTTCTCTTACATATTTATTGAGCAGTTGGCTCCTGATTCGTTTGTTCACAATCAGAGTTTCTTGTGGCTAATTGTCTCTGGCCGACCAGCCAGTGAAGAAGGGCAGCTGCTGACAATGATCTGCACTGGCCTGTTAAAAATGCTTTTCTTCACATGAGAGCAGTGCAAGTTTCTGACCCGTAGTGAAGAACAAACTGACTGATTGACTTCACATTCGTGTTGAACACAATCCGGATCTTGTTGTTAATGCTGGCTGGCTGGCTGGCTGAGTAAAGCAGAAGATTTCCAAACTGGTTTCATCGGGTTGACGAAGGCGTCTCTTGCCTTTCTGATTCTCAATGGCTGACTAGCTGGCTTTGATATCTTCATCCGTGTTGTCCGAATGCCTGTGCTTGAAACGATTCTCCATAGCTGGATAAGTGAGGGAATTAACTTCTGTCAAATCTCTCTCTCTCTCTCTCGTTGATGGTGATTGGTGCTCGTTGTTGGTGTTGTTACTGTCGCTTTTGGTTAGTCAGTTGGTTGTCTTCATCACCTCCGTTTTATCTATGTTCATCACCTGGAGAGTTCTGTCTTGTCTGTCTGTTTCTTCAGCCAGTTTTTTGATTTCCTCCTGTTGTGCATTTCTTGAAGGAGGCAAAGAAGATATGTCACATGTGCGAATGGTTCTCGTTTCAGGTCAGAGAGCACTGTGTCACACTATCCTCATTACCATTTCATATGGAGATCCTGGACAAAGAGAAACTATTATGCAATAATTTTCTCTGAAAATTCTTAACGTTACATAAACACTTCAGAATAAAGCTATTATTATTATTACTAGTAAGATGGTGTCTGTCTGTTCCCTCTATTGTGATTTCATCATTTTCTAGTCTTGGCTGTGAAACCTTCAAAAGGTAAGTAGTGCCTGTGATTTATTCTAACCATCAGCCTAATTTATTATTGAAATGTCTAGATAGCAAAGAGAGAATAGAAATTCTTTATGTAGTCTATTGATAAACAAGTCTTTGTCGTTGTTGTTTTTGTTGTTGCTATTGTTGTCGTTGATTTTGCATTTCAATGATTTTTATCTTCTTTTCACTACTCAGTGATTTATTGTCAGTTAGTGGTCAGTTACTGCATACACTCATTTCACTTGTCAACACTCTGAATACAATTCACACTGCGTTCTACGTCACTGAATTTATATTTATATAAAGTACGTATAATTAGTTATTAACTGGTAAACAGATTATTTGAGGCAGATATGTATGTACTTGTATTATAACAGTGGAATGAAAGTGGCACTTTCTGTTCTGTATGAAAATTCACTAACTGGATGTAACTACATCACAGGGTACGTGTTCCGACTGATACTTACACCTGGTACTGATTGCTTTAAATGTAGCTTGTCTGACCGCTTCCACTTAAGAGTTACAATTATCAAGTTTCTTGTTTTAAAGAATTAGTTCCCAGGGTATTGATTTATTTCACGACTGATCACGGATTGATGTTAGTTAGAGAATTATTGGAAGGTCTAGGTGTACTTGACAGCTTCAAATGAACTGTCGTCAAAATTCGACAGAATAGTTCTAAAATATTTGGGCGCTGAGTGAGAAGTAGATATTTGTAAAAAATTACATTTGTAAAGCCACAACGAAATTGAAATGAGTAATTCCAACGTGTCATTCGGCAATCTCATCCGAACTTCTTCAGGGAAATTAATCGAAATTAACATAACACAGGTTTATATGTACAAAAAGGAACATCTCTTGTTTTTTTAGATCTTTGTCCAATCATGAGTCATAAAACAAGTATAATAAACAAAATGGTATGAGTTGTGATCAAAATTCGACCTCAGACTTACAAATATTGATCTACCTTTGTTAAACACTTTAAATACAGTGTGTATGTATGCGGATAAACATTTGTAAAACAATGTCATAACGTCTCGATAAGTAGAAAAAGACAGTCGGGAACTTTGACCAAGTATTACTAGTTAGTGATACATATCCATTCTTATTTATTAATCAGGATTTCCTATGTGTCAGCTAACATCACACCTTTGTGTCTGTTCATACTCTTAATATCTAGAATTTTATGATTAGACGTATTTTCAAAATTATGTTGTTTAGGACTAGAGTTTAGTTGAAGCACCCTGTCGAACATATTACTTTGTCTTCTTTCTGAAGATTGAGCTGCTTCATTAGACCTACTGGAGTTGTCAGGTGACTGGACAGCTACGAATTTAGGATATGCATTCAGTTGCAGACAACGGAGAATGAAAACACGATGATTGTACCAATTACATACTTTAAAAAAAAATTTAATTCGATTGCAAAATAACATGAAGGTGTGATGTTAGCTGATGCATAGGAAATCCTGATTAATAAATAAAAAATGGATTTGTATCACTAATTTATAATACTTGGTCAAAGTTCCCGACTGTCACTATCTTCTTATGGAAACGTTAAGACATTGTTTTACAACTGTTTACCCACACACACACAAACACACTCTGTTTAAAGTGTTTAACAAAAGTCGACCAATATTTGTAAGTCCGAGGTCAAATTTTGATCACAGCTCATACCATTTTGTTTATTATACTTGTTGATACTTTAATAATAATTTGCTTTATTCCACAAACAGTACTAGTGATACAGTGTGGAATTTTCAGCACTTGATTGGACAAAGATTTTAAAAAACCAAGAGATGTTCCTTTTATACATATAAACCTGTGTTATGTTAATTTCGATTAATTTCCCTGAAGAAGTTCGGACTAGATTGCCGAACGACACGTTGGAATTACTCATTTCAATCTCGTTGAGGCTTTACAAATATAATTTTTTACAAATGTACTTGACGGCTGTTTCGTTCCAGCTTAAGACTCATCATCAGCACACAACCACCAGGACCTCCTAGTTACATAGCAAGCCTGTAGACCATTCAGTCACTGGAACCCTACTGAATGACCAGACCATGAAATCTAACTTTTAACAAGAAGTAATTTTAGCACGGATATTAGTCACTGTCATTGGCGGGTATTTGTCTTAATTCCCGGTCGAATGGACTGCAGTGGTCACAAATTCTCAGCAAAACTCCAGACAGCTTCGTTCTGTACTCAATCATTCCACTATACCATATTTAGGAGGTACTTTATGTGATGAAAATAGTGTTAGGCATGAACTAACTAACTAATTGACCTTTTTTGCACTACTAAATAAACCATTTTCTTCCACCATTACAACATCAACCTTTATTGTTATTGTACTTCTTTTATTTATAATCCTATCAATTTTTTTGTTTTTATTTGTTTACGTTTTCATAAGTGTGACTAACGTATAAAATATGTTATAACTTTCTTATGTTTGGTTTGTAAGGGTTAGTTTTGTTTTAACGAGTTGATCACGAATTGATATCAGTTAGAGAACCATTGAAAACCAGGGAGTACTGAACAGCTGCTTCATCCTAGTTTGGGAACCACTGGCAGTACGTACCCACTGGGGTTTGAACCCAGGACCTTCCGGTTACAACGCAAGGTCGTATACCATTCAGCCAGCCACTGTGATCCGATTCCATGGCTCATGAATTCTAACTTCCTGGTTTCGAACCCCAAAGGGTGAGTACTCCCGATGATTCTCAGAAAACTAGGATGAAACAGCAGCTGTTCATTACTCCAGTGCTGGTTTTCAATGGTTCTCTAACTGATATCAATCCCTAATCAACTCGGAAAAAACTTAACTAACCCTTACAAACCAAACTATAGAAAATTAATCTGCTGCTCGCTAGTGACTGACTGGCTACAGGATGGGGTTTCCTGGAATTCTAGTGAAAAGTCCTGACCAGTGAGGTCCATCCAATCGGCAGTGAGGATGGATTCCCTGCCGATGAAGTTGGTTGGTGCCAGTAGCACTAAATACATCACGAATTGGTAAAAGTTAGAATTCATGGGCTGGCGGCCGTTGAATCGGGTCCCAGTGGCTGAATGTGTCATAACTGTTAATTTTGTATTTCCCCTCACCATACTGTATCAACAGGGCGTTAGATTCAATAGTCTATAACATGCTAAAATTTCCAAAAATGAATCGACAATAATGTTTGAAATAAACTCACTGTTATTAATATTACTATTATATTTAGTATTCTCAATTCGTACTTCGAATATTTTTGACTTTATACCGTAAATGTGGACAAATTCCTCTGGTTAAATTTTGTTTTAATACTTTTAATTTTATTTATATTTTGAGTGAATCAGATGCAAGGTATTGTGACAAATGATGAGAATTCCAGTCTGTATTATAAGTACTGTATTTTGGAATAAAGTAGATTATTATTATCATCATCATCATCAGATTTATTATGAAAAGCTTGCTCTCTAAATGACATTGATCTGTAATCAAACTTTAAACAAATCAAATCTCTACAGATTAAATTTTGAAAAAATAATTTGATTCTCGCTAGTGACTGCCTACAGGACGAAAAGTTGTCTGAAGTTCTAGTGAGCATTTGTGACCAGTGGGATTCATCAAGTCGCCAGTGAGAACAAATACTCGCCGATGACACTGGTTGGTAGTTGCGCTAAAATCACTTATCGGTAGAAGTTAGAACTCATGGGCTGGTCTTTGAGTCGGATCTCAGTATCTCAGTGGTCTAAGGGCTACACTTTTAATCGGTAGATTGTGGGTTCAAACCCTGACGGTGGGTGCTTACTGATGATGAGTCTGAAACTAAAACGAAACAGCTGTCGAATACTCTTAGACTTTCCAATAGTTCTCTAACTGATGTCAATTAGTGATAAAACCTGTAACCCATCAGATTCCTGCAAAATACACACTTAATATTAATATTACAAGATAAAGAATTGTTATATGATGTAATCTAAAACTATAATAGTAATGATAACAGCAGAATGTATCACTCACCTCTAACCTGTAGGCGACAGTACCATTCACTCCATAGTCAACATCTTTAGCCAGCGGAAGGACAGCTAATTCACGCTTTTTATTCTGATGTAACAAAGCACTTTCAGTAGCATGAAATGAATTGCCTTTCCAGTAGCCTGTTGGCGATGATGTCGACGATGAATGGGATATAGATGATAGTAGGGTAGGCAGATACACTAATGATGGTATTGTGTAGTATTTGCTGATTGTTGATGAAATATCTTCGCTGACTTCAAGTCTTAGTCCACTTGTATATTGATCAAAACGTGGGATATTATCATTGATATCTTGAATTTTCACTGGTAGATTAATCAGAATTGGTTTAAATGTACGATTTCGACTAATCAATGCAAATTCTAAGATAATTGTACAGTCGACCAATGATGGATCATCATCAATAAGATCTAACAGTAGGAAGAGAGGGAGAGAGAGAGGGAGAGAAAAGCGAGATTTTATCAATTAAGGGATCAGTATGAGTAAACAAATATTACTAATAGTTACTAAGTGCCTATACAACAGAATTCGTATTTTCAAGTGTTCTTTTACAGGGATTCGATTGGCTTCAAGTTATAGAACCCTTGAAAACCATAAAGCAGTAGATATCTTTTGCATACTGGTTTCGAAATCTTCGGCAGTACGAGCTCATGACCCCAGCGTAGAACGAAATCACCGCGTTCAGGTTACAAGGGGAATGTGTTGACCATACACTCAGTCGGACAGGACTCAGTGTCTCATGAATTCTAATCTCTGCGAAGTGATGGTTTTTATGAATAGTTTCCATTTAGTGATTAATGAAAAATAAAAGACAATTCAACGAAGATGATCTTTTCGGGGAATTCATCGCCTTCTTTAACTGTACAATCATATTCATGAGCAATCTCTTTTTCACGCAAATGCGGTAGTCGCAAAAGTGATGAGTTGTCACAAAACACAGCTGTCAATTAAGTGTTGGTTTGTAGGGATTTGATTGGTTACAGGATTTCATCATGAGCTGACATTGGTTAGAGAACCACTTGAAAACTTGGGAGTACTGGACAACTGTTTCGTCCTAGTTTGGATCTCTTCATCAGTAAGCACCCACGGGGTTCGAACTCAGGACCTGGACGAAACAGCTGTCCAGTACTCCCTGGCAGGTTTTCCAATGGTTCTCTAACCAATGTCAGCTGACAGTTGTTAATATTAGTCAAGGTAATGGTAGGAGTAGGTGGCACAGCCGTAGAATGCTCGCCAACCACGCAGGTGGTCCATGGTGTTCAGTTTTCAGCCGACCCACTCCTTTACCTAGCTAAGCCAGTAATAAGACTGGTAAAGAGGGAAGTTTGGGCATGAGGCTAGCAACCGCATTCCGTAAAAAATAAATACGACTGCTAGTGAAACTTCAGGCCTTTAGCTTGAAGGCACCATATGCTCCACTGGGAACGTGAATGAATAGAAAAAACGATAGGAGTTGAGTGATTGCATTAGAGTTACGTAATAGGATGAATAATTTAATCCGTGGGCTGTAATCAGGATGCTCTTAGAAACGAAGGAAATTATCGATTCATGTAAGAGTTCTAAGGGTAGAGAAACCGGAGCTATGCATAGAAAAGGAAATTATTCAACCTCTCATGCTGCTGTCACGGTAACAATCTTTTTGATTTCTACTAACTTGATTTTTGTTTTTTTACTTGTTTTTCTTGTTTATGCTTCTGTCCTTAGTGGAGCATAAGGCCTCAAGTTGTAGCTTCGAAGATTCCTTATCATTGGTGTATATTTTTTAAGGGATGAGGTTGTCGGTCTCATGCCCACTCAACCTTCTTTTTTCCCTGGGCTGACTAGCGGCTAAGCAAAGTTTTTAAGAGTTTATCCACTGGGGATCACATGGGGAGGCGGTTAACGTGTAATTTACCGCTAAACTATGGACGCACTATTCTACCGTATAAAGGCAGATAAATCACAGCTAAAAGCTTGGAGACCGAAGAGGTATATATATATATATATAGTATCATCTTAACTTTACCCATCTAGACATATCGCGTCAGAAATCTTCAACAATACCATCCATATGGCTTGAAACTGTCTGCAACCATTCGATTGGAAATGATTTATGGTCGAATCAAATCAATAATTAAGTTTAGTTTAATACCTTATCGTAAAGAATGAATGTAGAGTGTTTCTTTTTGTGATTTTGCTTTAGTTATTTTGACTGACATGCAAACAATAATGATTGTTCCATAACGAACATATACTAGAAAAATAGTTCTACATCGGAATTCCAGTTATTAGTTTGAAAGATTTGCTTTTAAGTTGTACTATGCGCGTACACTTCACATTGAACAACCTTTTACTACAGACAAATCGACGGTCCAATTTTGGCAGATTTCTTTCCTGCTAAGCTTGAAAATGGTCCATTGAAACAGGGAATAGATAAAACGGATTCTTATTTTCGCTATGTTGATGATGCGTTTATTATTCTTGATTTGAAAGCTGACAAGAATGAAATGTTAATAAAATTTAATGATGCACATCCATCACTCATCTTCACTTTCGAAGAAGAACATGGTGGTGGACTGCACTTCCTTGATGTCCATTTGAGCAGAAGAGAGGATGGTTCACTCAAGAGAGATGTCTATAGAAAGCCTACATATGTAGGACAATATACACATTTCCTCAGTTTTGTACTAATCCGATACAAAATCAATTTGGTCAGATACCTCACGATTGGAGAAATACATATCTGTAAAGACGACTTCCTAGAAAATGAGTTGGGATACATCCAAAATACACTGGTGCAAATGGGTTATCCTAGTAGATTATTAGTGAGACACGTGAACACCAGGTACAATAAAGAAAAATTGACAACAGATAAAAAGAAACAACTATTCATGAAATTGCAGTTTAATGGGGATGTGGCTAGTGAAGTCTTACATCAGAGACTATCGAGAGCGATAAAACGGACTTATACTGCCACCACCCTTTGTTCTTTTGATTTTCTACCCGACCAATTATGATTGCTCAAGAGAAAGACAAGCTACCTAGCTGTGCCACCTCGATATGTATCTACAAATGTACTTGCACCTTTGGAGAGAGCTATATAAGGTAACCAACCAGATAGCATAACAAACGCATTGATGAGCATCTTCCTTCATGGTTCGGAAAAGGGCAAATAAAATCTATAAGAAGTTCTATTTTGTCTCATTTGATTGCCAGTGGTTACCAAGTGGACAAAAATACTGCCTTCAAAGTTATCTATCGCATTCCATTGAGTCTTTCGAACGGAATTCGAAACCGACTTTTACACATCGCCGAATCTGTGGGAATTAATTCGAGAGGAGAATCCCAGTGCCTTTGCATACAACAAAAGAAGTTTGTTCTACCTTTGTCACTCCTTGCTTATTAGCCTGGGTGAATTCTAATCAAAACCCTCCCAGCCTTTCTTGTTTTCCATTTCTTCTGTACTTTTATGATATTTATTTAAATTCTGATAATCTGTCCACTTTACCTCTAGTATTACATAAATTTTTAAGATTTGACCTAATTTATTTATTGAGTTGTCCACATATACATATTAATACCTTTGTTATTCTTATCGCCACCTGCATAAACCTTATTATCATTATTATTTTGTTATCATTATAATCATCGTTATTAATGACGTTTAAAACATTTACCACATTTTTATTATTATTTAATCTACAAACTCACCGTGATTGGTTAAGACATTTAAATATAAATCTATTTCGAGAGTTGGTTTGTAAGGATTAGATTTCCTCTTTACGAGTTTGACCACAGATTCAATCCTAACAAACCAACTGTTGAAAATTAATCTGATGCTCGCTAGTGACTGACTGGCTACAGGACGGAGTTTTCTGGAGTTAGTTCTAGTGAGAAGTCATGACCAGTGAGGGCCAGGCAGTCAAGTGTGAGAATGAAGTTCCCGCCGATGAAATTGGTTGGTGCCAGTCTCTCTAAATGCATCACGAATTGGTAGAAGTTAGAATTTATGGGTTGGCCATTGAATGGGGTCCCAGTGGCTGAATGGTATACGAGCCAGTTTGCCTTACAACCGGAAGGTCCTGAGTTCGAACCCTGGTGGTGGGTTGATACTGCCGCTGGTTCTCAAACAGGTGTCCAGTACTCGCTGGATATCATCCGTGGTGAAACTCGCAAATATATAAATCTATGTAAAAATTAGAGTAAAGCCTGAGGAAGATCTAATTGAAAACAACAATATTGTAAGCATATATGTCTTGTTGTAACAATGATCGTATGGTAGATTTGAAACAAAGGGAAGAAACTAGACTTCGGCACCTCGAAGTGTAATTGCAGTCAATTAAATTAATCACTGATTATGTCATCAATTACAACATTCCACTTTACTATTGTACACACGGAAATCCAACATCTTGATGAATTATTTAAAGACTTTCCCAGTTGTCATTTATGTCATCAAGCAAACGGTATCATTATCATCTGAATAATTTGAGTTTTCAAAGGTGAAAAAAGGTGAGACCTCATTCCAGTCCTGATAATTTACAAATTAGGAAATCGGAAAAAAAATTATCCTAAAGTTACTACAGTATCAAAAGCGATTGAACTGAGACGCCTGTGACTGGTTTTTGTTGTTTTTGTTCCTCTTCTTTTTCCTGTTCTTGTTATCGTTGAACATACAATGGTGATAATTAAAACCCTGTAAGTTGGTTACAGGATTTCATCATGAGCTGCTGACATTGGTTAGAGAACCATTGGAAAACCAGCTACGAGTACTGGACAGCTGTTTCGTCAGCCTAGTTTGGGACTCTTCACCAGTATGCGCCCATCACAGGGATTCGAACCCACGACCTTCTGGTTACAAGGAGAGCTCGCATACCATTAAGCCAGCGACTGGGACCTGATCCAATGGCCGGCCCATGAATTCTAACTTCTGCCAATTCACGATATAGCGCAACCGCTAGCCAATGTCTTCGGCGAGTATTTGTCCTCACACCCGACCTGCTGTACCTTACTGGTCACGATTTCTCACTGGAACCCCAGGTAACTACCTATCTGAATAAGGCCAGTCGCCAGTGAGCCAGTGGTTCTCTAACCAATGTCAGCTTATGATGAAATCCTGTAACCAATCAACCAAATCCCTACAAACCAATACTTGAAAAACACTGTATTGATCGATATTTACAGTTACAACGTCAAACACGACATAAAAAGCATTGTCTCCGCTCTCGAAATACAACAGAAGACGAACCTTTGGAGAGACCTTTAACTAGCCCAAATCAGTTCAAACTAGTAGAGATAATAATAACCTATATATACAATATGCAGAGAGATTTAGAAGGATGCAATCAATCAACAAATCAAATATCGATCCGCTATCACTTAGGAGGCAGTATTTCGGGAAAGATAGGGTCAACTTATGTGGCGGCCTGCT